TATAAAAATTATATATGAAATTATATATTTATAACATATATTTAAAAGTCGACTGGATATGTTGGCCTTCACAAATTTTATACTCCCATATTTTGTTGTAACAACAAATAGGACACTCTGAACCACACCTATTTGAGACATGTTTTTAAGTAATCCTTATGACTTAAATCATTCAATCCATAGAGTCTCTTTAAAAAGAAATAAATTCTTGATAAAAAGCTAAGCTATACAAAGAGAGGTTTTTTTATACATTCAAACAGCTCTAATGTTTCTGTCTTTACAAATACCTCTCTCATATTTGTCACCAATCTCCGTCATCATGCACAAACGTCCAGTAAATGAGTAACCTTCAAGATAGTTTTGTTTAGTAATACAAAAGGTTTCCTTTAAATGATGAAAGTGTTTTTATGGTAATCTCTGACAACCTCAAGTCATTATGGAACTTAATACCTTAACACCTTGAACTGTAAGACATAGCTTATCAGAATACTTTTTTAAGCAACCCCTTATTTATTAATTGATTCTCATGGAAAAATCTTCAAGCATAAACCATCTTTAAGCGGCCTGTCAAAACAAGGGCAATCCTTTAAAGAGTCTCAACTGTAAACTCACATGTAGGCAAACAGTAGCAGAAATTAAGAACCTATAACTGAAAATAATACCTAATATTTTGACTTTGGCAGGTCTGTACATATGATAAATAGATGAGCTGCTGTAAACATAACATTTTAAATAAAACTTCATAAAATACTATGCTTCCATTTGAAGCTTATTTTTTATAAAGCCCTCTCACTTAGGTCACCTCTGCAATTCTTCTGGATTATAACTTCTTCATTACGTGTCCATGTAGAGCAAAGCTCATTGGGGTCTTGTCTATAACTCATCCCCTTTATTCCAGTAAAACCAGTACAATTACCACTTACCTGCTAAATATAATGCTTTCACCTGAGGAGGCTGCAGTGCTTCATGAAAGATGATAACTGATCCAAGTTGGCCCTCCAAAGATGTTGGACAACCCCATTCACTGTCCTGAGTCCCTGCTGAGATCATCTTGGTGATGAGTTCTGGTTTTCCAAGCATCCCACCCCAACTTCCTGTAGCGAGAATGCCCCCAAGCGATGTCCGATGGGGCATAATAGGTGAGGAAAAAGGTGGATCTGGTATCTGAGATGGAGGAGGAGTTGTTGTTCTTTGACCAGCTGAACCAATGCAGCAAGAAGTGAAAGACTGGAGAGTCACACATGGAAGAAAAAAAACCAAAACACATACAGTAAATCGAACCTCCTTTTTTCACAGTTTACAAAGTAAATCTGAAGACTATTTCTGGCAAAATTGAACTAAATAAATTAAACCAAGAGCAACAAGTTCTGGCATGCCCTGGAAAAAAAGCAATCCAGCACACTAGGCTGAAAGAAAAAAAAAAAACAAACCAAAAATTAAACAACCACACACACACACAGAAAGCACCCTTTATCCAATTAAGAACAATCTGGTCACCTCAGCTGTTGTGTGACCTCTGGCAGGAGTAAAGCCAGGAAGGATGGTGCTCCAGATACAATGGTAAACGTTCCTCTTTTGGATTATATTCCAAAATACTATCTCAGCATATCTGCTACTGTACATTTCTCGTATCAGTTATTCCACTCCAAAAGATGCTCTCAAGGGAAGCTTACCTGCCCTACTTTTAGCTACCTTGATGTTTACAGTGCTTATTCTACAGATGGCCCAAAATCCAGAGTTTTATCTCATAATGGAAATTAAATTTACTCACATTTTTTATTATACTGATTTTACTATGACTGTGTCCAATTCAAGTGTTTGCTCAACCTATTTAACAAATATCAGATTAGGAGTTACAAAAGAGGGAAGAACGTTCAGTGTTGTAGCCCAGTTTAAATTGGATTTTTTCCACAAAAAAGAACAGACAATGCTTACAAAGAAAACTAAACTTGACATATACTCACTTTTATGGCTACTGTGTTTTTTCAGGCTAAATGTGCACACGTTCAAAATGGTTAGATTAACTGTGTGTAAACTGCTTATCCAGCTAACAAAGCAGGTATAAGATTAGGATATTAAGGGAACATACAGAAAACACAAGTAAAAAAAGTTACTGCTGAAAACAGCAGGGAATATTCCTCATTGAGTACTGTCACACCAATCCTACTGGCAGAGGTGTGATTTATTATGATTTACTCATCATAAATTATGTCAGTATGCTCAGGCAATTATGTTGGGGAAACCTCACAATCTAATCAAGGTAATCTGGGCTTTTTTGTCTTGTTTTTAAACTGAGATGATTAAACAAGCATTAATTAATGGTTAGTTATACTCCAAATTGATACTCTGGATACTGTCCAAAGTTGAACAGAAGCTTATTAGCTATAGGCTAAGCTATCTTAAACTCTTATGCAATTTCCAAATTAAAAAAGCCAACTATGTTCATACTGTTCTATGAGAGCTCACTGGACAGGTGTATGACTCAGAAGGTGAACTTACTTCATTCATGGCAGGGAACCGAAGTGGGGCAGAGACCTTCTGTTGTCCATTGACATAGATGTACACAAGGCTCTGACCAAAGGGCCTCTTTCCAGGCATGTGAACAATAGTTACGTTGTGCTGGTTAAGCAATATAAAATTAAGTCATTATTAAAAAGCAGTGAAATGATGGTATGGAAATATTTAACTTCACCTCTACTAATCCGGTGAGGAATCCACTTAAGAAATTAAATCCAAAGCAGCAACAAGAAGATAAGACTACCTATCATCTGTTTCCATTTTAAAGTATTTTACACGTAAACAGGTTTTTGAAGGGAAAGACATACAGATAATGCACATCAGTCCTGAAGTATGGGAACACAAAAAGGCAAGGCAGAAACACAGTAGCACATTTTATTCATTCACATAGCACCATAGCCACCTATGCTTGTTAATTTAATATTAAAAAAAATCTGCATGTTAAAAAAATCTCAAAGCACAATGCTGTAACCAGCTTATCAATAACAAATGCCTAATAACATAGGCATAACCTACCTCAATCAACCAGTAACCTACATGGAAATTGCTTGCATTATTTGAGAATAATCTGTTCTTCTGCAACAAATTATTTAAATACGATAAAACAGACCATTTGTAAAACAACAAAAAAATGAGCTTTGACTTCTGAGCTAACAGTACTATCCTAAATAAAGTGTTTTCCAGTAGCAAATCTTACCCAAAGAGAGTCAAAAAAACAATGGTCAGACAGCATCACTGTTGCATATTCCCTCTTCGTGCAAACGGCAACCACCAGCACCCCAGAGTATGTAATAAATGCTTCAAAACCCATACCACTTGCTGTAAAAAAGCTACAGAAAAAGATAACAAAACACACAATCAAGGACTTATTTCATCAAAACTATTGGAAATCACCTAACAGTGCATTCATTAAGGAGAGAACCAACTTAAGTCATTTGTCACTGGTCCAATATTTACTATTTGACTAGCTATTACTCTTGTTTCAAAAAAAACAAGATGAAGAACTGCCTCAAGGAAGGGACCCCAAGGCACAAGATATGCAAGCCAAAGGTGATCCAGAAAGAAACATAGAATCATTTAGGTTGGAAAGGACCTTTACTCCAACCATTAAACTAATACTGCCAAGTCCACCATTAAACCAGGTCCCTAAGCACCACATCTATACAACTTTTCAATACCTCCAGGCATGGTGACTCAACCACTTCCCATGGCAGCCTGTTCCAGTACTTGATAACCCTTCAGGTGAAGAAATTTTTCCCAATATCCAATCTAAACCTACCCTGGCACAACCTGAGGCCATTTCCTCTTGTCCTATCACTTGTTACTTGGGAGAAGAGGTAGTTTCAGGTAGTTGTAGAGATGAGGTATCCCCTCAGCCCCTTGTCACCAGTTCCCTCAGCCACTCCTCAAAAGACTTGTGCTCTAGACCCTTCACCAGCTTCGTTGCTCTTCTTTGGATACATTCCAGCACCCCAATGTCTTTCTTGTCTTGAGCGGCCCAAAACTGAACACGGTGTCTGAGGTGCAGCCTCACCAGTGCCCAGTACAGGGGGACGATCACTTCCCTAGTCCTGCTGGTCACACTATTTCTGATACAAGCCAGGATGCTATTGGCCTTCATGGCCACCTGGGCACGCTGCTGGCTAATGTTCAGCCGGCTGTCAACCAACATTCTCAGGCCCTCTTCCACCAGGCAGCTTTCCAGTCACTGTTCCCCAAGCCCGTAGTGTTGCATGGGGAAGTTGTAACCCAAGTGCAGGACCTGACATTGAGCCTTGTTGAATCTCCTACCATTGGCCTCAACCCATCGATCCAGTCTGTCCAGATCCCTCTGTAGAGCCTTCCTACCCAACCTCTCATAGCACCTTGTAGTCATCCATCTTTTACATGAAAACATAATGTTGGTCCCAACAAGTAATGTTTCAGTTTGACCCACAAAGTCCCCCCCACTGCAGTCTCTGGAAGCTACAATATTAAAGAAGAGATTGGTCTGCAACCTGTGCTGTTTTCTATCAATCAAATTGTGTCCATCAGCCCCTGGTAAAGTTGCCAATATTGTATGCAGATTTGTAACATTACTGTCACACTTACTAGATATTACTGTCTGATAAAACAATAAGTCACCAATTTCTTTTTTAATATGTGATTATCTATCAGCAAGAATCTTACCTTAGTGGGAAATGTAAATGTACTCATTGTTTTATATCTTATTTCACTCATATAATGAAGAAAATCAGCAGTAAGCAGCTATCTATAAATAAGCCCTGCAAGCACAGGTGTGCCTTAAGAAACCTTTCTTTTTTTAAGCACTTGGATACAAAATAATATTTATAGATTGTGAACTGCTATCCAAACCTGCTACACATCCTTAGGCACCATTATTCCAAGTGGACGCATTAACTACTATCAAGTAGCTGCATCTATTAATATAAAACACAAATACACACACAGAGAGCAGGAATATTATAGACAACCTCAACAGACGTAAGCTGTCTTACAATTAAACACTGTAAAACACAGCAGCTAGATCAATTTTTAATTATTTTTAATTCAGTTGCATGCTTAACATTTCAAGCTGAAACTGGAATTTTAAACATTTCACTTTTTTGTATTAATTTCAACACAACACTGTTTTAGCTTCCCAAAATTAGAAGGTCTTCAAAATTGTATGTCAATGATAACAAACCAGTCAGTTATTGGTATAATAGCTTCACACTGAAATCCGTTTGCAGCTTTTTTACTTCGTAGTGCAATTCTACCCCAGTTTTCTGTAACTACAGTCTACTTTAGATCTTTAGTGGGGGACACTGACAAATTCTGGAAACAGTGTTATGGCAGTTCACCAGGTGGCACCCTTCACCAGGGCTGTGCTATACAAATACACGGGGCAGCCACAGAAATTCAACAGGTCTCCCACCTGCCACCATGTTTATTAATAAACAGAAAGCAACACTCTAAGACATAGGGGTTTGGAAAATACCAATTCCATCACAACCAGAATTGCATTCTTCAACTTTTCCCCTGAAACTGCAGGGCAGTAAAATAGGACTGAAGGGAGCAAGGGATTCTTCAACTAGTATTCTCCTATGTTGCATTTCATTTGCTGATGAACATTAGTACCTAGAAAGTTAGATTAAACCAAGAACCATCCTTATGAATGTCTACTATTTAAGCAAATGAAGGTGTAATTTCATTGTGCTCTTATACAGAAAAACCAGATTTCACTACCTTTACAGGAAGGCTGTTCTATTTTGCCGTAGGGTGTCAGGTTTTTTTTTTTTTGGGGGGGGGGGGGGTTGCTTGTTGTTTTTGTTGGGGGGGGGGGGGTGGGGTCATAGGGTTGTGTTGCTTTGTTTTTTGTTTAAGCTATAAACCTTAATACAATTTGGAGTTATGGATATTGAAACTGTAGACAAGAAAGCATTATAACTGAGAAACTACATGCTTATTTCTGTAACACAGCCTGGCTCTGGTGACAGATAAAACTGCCCCCTTTCACAAACTAAGCACTATATATCACATTCTATGAAGATAAGCAGAAGTACCACATGTCACAGGGTACCATATGCTGCAGGGAACAGATGACCTAGATTTGTGCTGTTGAAGTAGTTATAGTAACTATACCTATAGAGTTGCTTCCTCTTGCCACTTTTGTTAGTCGTGCTAGGGTCCACCCGGTCCTGGTCAAGGCAGAGCCAAGCATTGAAAGAAAACGCAGAGCCTGGCCACTTATGAATTGATGGAACAGCAATTCCAGCCATGCTGTGGTACAAGTTGAAATACTGCAACGCACTAGCCATGCCCTGTTTCCGGGCCATTGCTAGAATGGCTCGCATCACTGGAACAACGTAAGGGTGAGCTTGTTTTGGTTCCTCAGTTCTCAGGAGCCGTATTAGTTGAAGCAGTTCTTCTGAGCCCATTGACTGGCTCCCCAAAGAGCCCAGAAGGGCAATCAGGTTCTCTGCACAAGTACAATGGAGCACAGAGTGGGAATTTAGTGTCTTAATAATACGGATGACCATGTTTGCATTGACGCACGTGGCACGACTCTGTCTGTTAATACAGCAGATTCGCCTCAACCAATTTGAGATGAAAATCTGCAGGTCATGTGATTCTAGTTCTGGAAGCCACTGGATAAGCAGCAATAAGGGCTGGACATTACTAATGCCTAGTATCCCAACAGCCATGTGGTCACCTTCAACAGCCTGAAAAACAGCAGAGAACTCAGACGTGAAATACAATAAAACAGGGCTAGAAGTACTGTTGAAAATACAAGCTTTTCAGCTTCAAAGCAAGCACATCTCACCATATTCATGAGTTCTTCCAGCAATTCCCGTGAGGGTTGACCCAGCGATTTTAGTACCTCATATATGTGTGCATAACCAATCCTCTCCTTGAAGACCTCCTGAGGACAAAAATTCCAGTCTCACTAACAAATAAAATGGACAAAAATTGCTTGTCTGCTGCAGTAGGTTCTAATCCAACACAATATTAGACACAAAATCATTAGAATGCAAGAATAATGTTTTACAGGCTAGAAATCTCTTTTTGATAGTAGTCCATTGTGCTATTTCTAGCATGCTGCAGATTCAAATAAAAGATCAATGTTATATTTTACTAATTACCTATACAACAATAGAATTGCTTTGTTATAATCAAAATGTTAATTCTATCACAAATACTAACACTTTCATTTTTTAATGTAAACTATAGCATGAAATTAAGTGATTACATTAAGAATTAGAAGTATTTAGATATTAATTTTGTAGTGAAAGATTTTCCTAGACCAGCTTAATTAAAAACCATCCATCCTAAACATTTCAAAAATTAGCAAAGTGTTCCAAGGAAGTTTTTCTGAAAACTGGTTTTTAAATGAAGAAAAAAAATAATCAAGCAGCAAAATCCAAACTGTAGCAGCCATTTATGGTTTAGTTAGTAAGCAGCCAACACATCATATGGAACAGATACTCTTCTCCCAACAGTATTCTGCACTGAAATTATAACTTTTTTTTTTAAAGGATTAATCTGTCAGCAGAAGTGAGATGATTGCTTATGTAAATATGGAAAGAAAAAATACATATGTTGCAGTGGAAGTACAATTGAAAACTTGACTGAATGTGAATCACAGCCAGTCCCCAGCTCCAAAATACAACACTTCCCAGGCTATCCAGAGTCAGTGGAGCAATAAGCACTGTAAGTAATGCTCTGGAGGAGCATAACTCATCTTGACTGTACTGCAAGTAGCAACTAAATCAGATGACCCCCACTCTTCCTTTAGCCTCCACTGTGCAGCCACATACCTTTTCCTGTGCCCAGACTCAGTAACCATTCACCCATGGGGTGAATCTAATGAACTCAGAGATATAAGAAAAAATACACTACTTTTCTGTGGGCTTAGCTTCCAGACAGATCCACAAACTAACCACAACCTATCCATTTATCAAATCACAAGAATAACTGCAAAGGAAGGGCAGAGAAACAGCAAGCCCACCATTTGGATAGCAATACCATCCTGGGTTAGTTTAAAGCCATGATACCACTACAACACAAACTCCTGACAGAAAATTCCTACAAATACCCATTATTTCTACCCCACATATTCATGGGACAAGTAATGACATACTTTCTTTACAAAGGTTCCAACTGCCATCAACGCTCTGATGTTCCAGTTTTGATAGAAAGATGGCTCAGTGTCCAGCCATTAGACACACATAAAGGAACAAGGGACGCTAAACAGCTATTCCTATCTAGTAGGAATGTGCGATCACAATCTGCTCATCTTTATGAGCAAGATTCATCAAGATATTGTGACAAAAACAAGATCAAGAAGCCTACTGCAAACAGACCTCTGCATATATACTGTTACCTTAGCAGCTGGAGACTTATGCATTACTGCTGTGAGGGCCTGAATGGTTGATACTGCCAAGCAGTCTAGGCGTCCCTGAAACACCTGAAAGCAGCAGGTAAAAAAGTTATATACAAATGTACAAAGACAGTTAAGCTCCAATATCTATACTGTACCCTCCTGCCCGGAGGGAAATCAAGAGTTTGCTAACATGCTTCAAAAATCATCTCCCCACCAGTCAAGATTTCATAACCACAAGGAATTTCATAACAGTAGACAACTAGTCACATACTTGAAGAGGAGAGAGAAGCATTCACAACACACATGGCACTTTAAATATTCTGATGGACAAACAGGTTTCCCTCATGCGGCTAATGGACAACCTCAAAAGGGAGGGAGGAAAACAAATCAGGAAACCTTTTGCAGTATGTGTGTCTATGCTGCTGGACAACCTGGCACCTGCAGTTCATATA